CCATCTCAAGGCAAAGGGGGGTTGGACGCTGATTATTTACTGCCTAGTGTTGCCTAGGAAGGGAGCATGCTAAGCTGGGGAGAGGGGAAAGGAGCATGCTAAGCTATGGGAAGGGAGCTCACTGGGATAACCATATATATTTTTTTTAATCTTCTCAATTTACCCATGACTTTTAAATGGCTTTTACTCAAATAGAATTTGCCTTTGTGTCACATGGATTTTGTTAATAAGTTGTAAAGACTATTCAGAAAAGACTTCAGAAAATTCACCTTTTCTGTGAAAAGCTAAATTATATTCATGATTGTCACTCAATTGCTTCTGTTCTCTCAGTACCTTTATGTAATGATCTTGTCAAATTTCAAAGTAGTTTACAGATATTAAAGTACCCAGCTTGTTGTTTTCTTAATTTTACGAGTTTTTTTCTTCATAGAAATGAAGGGACAAAAGGTGAACAAATGCAGCAGTGGTACTTACTAGACACTGTTAAAAATAAACTGTCCAATTTGGAGGGGGGATGGGAGGGAAAACTGGGAGAGAGGGAAGGAGGAGGTGATATTGTCCAAAAGGGAATGTACTCATTACCTGACTTATATTACTGTGACCCCTCTGTACATCACCTTTATAATAACAACTTTAAAAGTAACTGATTTCCCCTATCAAAAAAAAAGACCAGATAAGAAATATATTTGGCTTTGTAGTTCATAGGATCTCTGTTAAAGTTATTCACTTCTGCCATTGTAGAAAACACATAAATATGTTGCTGTGTTCCAATAAAACTTGATTTATACAGAAAGAAAAAAATGCTTTTAAAAATCAACTTATGGGTTTTAAATTAAAATTTTCAAATGTAATCACTACATTCCTTCTGGTCCTTTTGATGTTTAGTTTTGTGACTTTTTCTTAGTGACTACCATAAATTAATTTCATTTGTAAATAATTGTTGTTTCCTCTCTACAAGACACAATTCCAGATGTGGAATTTATTGCTGAATAAATAATAAAGACAAGGCCCCAGTGAGGGAGACAAATAAATGGAAAATATTAAGTAATATTAACTGCTGTGTGGCTAATTTGAAGAGTAATGTAATAGAGGAGGTCTACATAACTACTTCAGATAGAGTGGTCAGGAAAGGGTTCTCTCTGAGGGGGTGATATTTAAACTGAGACTCTGACAGATAGGACACTAGCCATATGAATACTAGAATGAAACATAGCCAGTAATGTAAAGACATTAGGAGGTTGGCCTCCTACAGAGGCTAAGAAGACTCCTGTGTTGAGCAGTGAATGGAGAGAGCTGGTAGCAGGAGTTAAGGTTGAAGAGGTAGAGTTCAGATCATGTAGGTCTTAAGTGGTCCTTGATAAGGTACTTGGAATCTCTGGAAGACTTTAGAGTGATGTGATCTATAGTTCAGGTAGGAAAGTAGAGTGGTCTAAACTGAGAACCTCTCACCTCCACATATATATATTCATAGACAAAAGATTGCTTTTCTGCTAAGTCATACCAAATAACTGAGTTTTTCTAGAAAAGCTGCCTTAGAGATAAGAAATTGGGCCAAATTCCATTTTTTGAGAATCCCATCTTCCCTATTAACTCTGTAACACTGAGCAAATTATAAGACTTCTTCCTGTACTGGTTTCTTCATCATTAAAATAAAGATAATAGTATTTGACTTTTAAAATAGTTTTTAATTGAAAAAAATGCATGTAAAGTATTTAGAATCGTCCTTGGGACATAAGAAGGACTTAATAGATATTCAGTCTTTTTTTTCTGTCAAATCATGATTGTAATCCCAGTAGCTATTCTGGAGACTGGAATATGGAGGATCACAATTTGAAGCCAGCACATGCAGTTCATTACTTGAAAAGAGACTATTTCTATAACTTGGCTATGATGAATACTGCAGTAAGTATCCTTACTGTATCCTGACTTGTAATCTTTTAGTTAAATGCCTAAGAGTGGTATTGTTGGATCATAGGGTAATTCTAGGTTTAGTAGTTTAGTTTTTAATCATCTTTATTCCAAATACTAACTGGGTTTGTACACCTCTAATCCAGGTATTCAGGATACTGGAGAAGATGAATTTGTAAGTTCTAGATTAGCCTGGGCTACATAATCAGACTCTGCCGAAAGAAAAAACAAAAGGGAAGGAAAAGGAGGAGGAAAGTGAGGAGGAGACAACTGGTGGCTCATGCTACTCAGGAGACTAACATCTGAGGATCACAGATCAAAGACAGATCAGGCTGAAAAGCCCATGAAACTCTTCTCCAGTTAACCACCAAAAAATAAGGAGAAAAAAGCCAGAAGTAGAGCAGTGGCTAAAATAGTAGCGCACTAGCCTTGAGCAAAAAAGCAAAAAAGCTCAAGGACTATACTCAGCCCCTGGGTTCAAGCTCCTGGACCAGACTGGTACCAAAAAACAATAAAAAAAAATACTAATTAGAATGATAATGTAACATTAATCATTACATAATATCAGATCTATATATGTCTGTCTGGAAGTATGATGTGATACTATTAGATCCATGTGATGTTAGAAACCACTCTGTTCTAAAATCTATCCACTTCCTCTAAGGTGTGGATCATATCTCTATAAGCCCTACTTACATAGTAAGGAAGAATACACATTTTACGTAGTTTTAAGTCTATTTAAGACTGCCTGGAGGACAAAGGGAGTTACAGCCTCTGCATTTTCATTAGCCTTTCATTGCTAGCTGCCTTGTTAAAGGAAATATTGATGTTTTCTGGGATTCTTCTCTGCATGCACATACAGAGGCATATAATTACTACAAAGGAAGTGGGGGAGGGACAACTGCCAAGGGGAGATTCACTTCCTCTTCTTTGTTCACATCTGCTGCTTGGAAGAGACAGGATTTATTGCTTTCTTTAAGAAAAGGATTGCCTAGTTTGCTACCCCTCCCCCCTTTCTGGTGGATCATCCCTGAGGAATATTACATCTCCTGACACTTATCTCCAAATGAAGTAAAACTAAATGAAGAGGAGCTGGAAGCAGAGAATCAGTTAAAGGGCTAGAAATACTTGCAAATAAGAGAGAGGCTGACAAGTGCATTCCAGACCAGTCTAGTCAGTCTCCCTGCCTCTATAGTTTGTTCTTGGTGACTACAGTAAGCAGGTGTTCTATTTCCATTTCTTCCATTTTGAGCTCCGCATATTGTCATAAGATTTTGTTTTATCCACACGGAAAGAACTCTTAATGGGTTTTTAGATTATATTTGATGCATCTTTTTTTTTTCCTGTTTTCTAGTTTTCATTTTCTGGGATAAACATCACTCCCTACTTACCCCTTTGTACTTCTTCCTCCTCTACCTCATCTCTAAATGTATGGAAGACTATTATTTCTTTTGTATTTTCCAGCCTCTATGAATATTTAAAACATGATAACCTGTAGATAGCCTATGTTTATTTTTTGAAGTTTTAGCATGAATAACAGGATTAAAGGAGGGAGAAATAGAAATGACAAGAAACATTTCCTGTTTTCCATGCAGGAAATAAAAGTTAAAGACTCAATATAGTGGCTCCTATCTATTATATATATATATATATATATATATATATATATATATATACATATATATACATATATATGTATATATATGTATATATATATATAATTTATTTATTTGGTCATGGGACTTGAACTCCAAGGCTGGGCACCGTCCCTGAGCTATTCAGCTCAAGGCAAGCACTCTACCACTGAGCCACAGTGCCACTTCAATTATTTGAGTGGTTTATTGGAGATAAGAGTCTCAAGGACTTTCTTGCCCTGGCTGGCTTTGAACCAAGATCCTCAGATGTCTGTCTCCAAAGTAGCTAGGATTATAGGTGTGAGCCACCAGTGCCCTGCTGCCTTTTAAATTTTTATTCAGTTGTACCATGTTCTTTTATTTCCAATTAGATTTCTTTGGGCAAAGTGCAAAGTGCTCTGTTATTGATACTCTTCTAATGAAAATTTTTGCTAATAACATGAGGTTGCACTGTATTTTTTATGTTTTTTGGTTTGTTTGTTTCCAGTCATGGGTCTTGAACTCAGGGCTTGGGTGCTATCCCTGGGCTTTTTTTTTTTTTTTTGCTTAAGACTAATGCACTTTCACTTTGAGCCACCACTCCAATTCCAGTTTTCTAGCTATAGTATTGGAGATAAGAGTCTCATGGACTTTTCTACTTAGGTTGGCTTCTAACTGTGATTCTTACATATCACCCTCCTCAATAGATAGGATTACAGTCATGAGCCACCATTGCCCTGCTTTGCATTGTACTTTTTATAAGTATAAAAATCTCGGGCTAGGGTGGCTGGGAAGGTGGCTCAGTGGTAGAGCGCTTGTCTTGCATGCATGAGGCCCTGGGTTCGATTCCTCAGCACCACATAAGCAAAAAGAAAAAAGCCGGAAGTGGTACTGTGGCTCAAGTGGTAGAGCGCTAGCCTTGAGCCTTGAGCTGAGGGACAGCACCCAGGCCCAGAGTTCAGGCCCCACGACCGGACCCCCCCCCCCCCCAAAAAAAAAATCTTACGTTATTCTCTATCTGAGTTTTCTCTTGGAGAAAGATGGTAAGCAGAATTTTTTTTCTTAAGAATATTTGTTATCTGGATTGTGTACTTTTAAAACCATCCTTTCATTTGTTTATTTCAATAACCCTGTAAAGCAAGCAGTGTTGGTGTTATTATTTCCATTTTGCAGATAAAGCTGAGATTTGGTGCAGTTATTTGTCTGAAGTCTTAGAGGAAACAATGTTAAGTAAAAATTTACTTGAGATTCAAACCATGATAAAGCTTTAAACACTTTTTTTGTTTGTTTGTTTTGTTTTGTTTTTGCTCTACCATCTCAGAAGGTGGTATAGAAAATAATGAAAGTCTCTCAGGGAATTGATAATGCTTTCAAAGACCTGCTGCAGTTTTACTTGTTCTATGGCCCTGTGCTTGGGCTGCCATAACAAATACCATAGACTGAGCAGCTTAAGCAGCAGAAATTTATATTTTTTTACAGATCTAGTGGCTGGGAATTCAAGATCAACATGCTGATGGAATTGGCAGTGAACTTTCTGTCTTCTGGAGTGCAGGTGGCATCTTTTCTGTGCATCCTTATATGACTTTTTTCCCCTTGAGGAACAGAGAGAGCTCTCAAGCTTCTTCTTGCCTATTAGATTATGGACCCACCTTAACAGCTTCTTTAAATTTTAATTACCTCCTCTGTAGCTCTGTCTCCAAATGTTTTTAAATTGAGGGGGAGGGTAGGGTAGGTATGAATGGGAAAGGCATAGTTAAGTCTATAACACCATGTTGATAGGTTTTGATATTTTCTGATTTTCTAGCTTAATCTGGTTAGTTGGACTCAAGCTATATTTATATTCAATAGTTGCATGGAACCAAATGTAAGAAATATCTGTATTTCTCTGGCCACAAGGGCTTGTTACATCTGTGGCACTTGCTATAAAGAACATTATAACTCCTAAATATTTTAATTAAAAAGTATCAAAATGTTACTACTTGTCATGTAACCTTGTTTGTTAAAAAAAAAGTACAAGTAATTTCTGTTCTCCTTTCTCTCCATAATCAGTCTTTACAGATGGAGAAATTAACATACAGAGAAACTGATTTGTCAGAGGTTGGAACAAGTTGTTAGTGGATCCAGGAATAAATCCCAAACCTCTTAACTCCTTAACCAGTTCTTAGTCCATTGACTATGCATCCTAGTGGTAAGTATTTACATTACACTACCCTAAAGGTAAGAAAGATTAAGAAACCTAGCAAGAACTGAATTTAAGAATTCTTTACTTCAGGGACTGGGAAGGTGGCTCAGTGGTAGAGCGCTTGCCTTGCATGCTCAAGGCCCTGGGTTCGATTCCTCAGCACCACATAAGCAAAAAGAAAAAAGCCGGAAGTGGCGCTGTGGCTCAAGTGGTAGAGTGCTAGCCTTGAGCTGAAGAGCTGAGGGCCAGTGCCCAGGCCCAGAGTTCAGGCCCCAGGATCGGACCCAAAAAACAAAACAAAAAAGAGCTGAGGGACAGTGCCCAGGCCCAGAGTTCAGGCCCCACGATCAGACCCAAAAAACAAAACAAAAACAAGAATTCTTTACTTCAAAATGTACTCATTATCTTGCCCATGTATTGTAACCCCTCTGTACGGTATTTTCACAATAAAAAAAAAGAATTCTTCACTTCTAATTAAAACATACATTCTCTTTATAGCCATAATGTCATTTTTGTCATTAGCATGAATTTTCCAGTTTGAGAGAGGATGTTAGAAAATTTGCTTTTAAGGTATTATTTTACGAGATTAGACACATTAGCAATTATGATTAAGAGGACAAAAAAAAGAAAATCATAGCAATTTCTGGAAGAGATTCTTGCCATCTTCATAGTGACTTTTTAGTTGTATTATTTGGATTTATTAGAAACAAAATTTAAGGCTTAGATTTTAAATCAGATTTGAGTTTTATGGACATTAAGAACCTATTGAAAACATTTAAAGAGAAAATGTATATGTTTAAGCATAGTTTCTAATTTTTTATGTTTATCCTTTTTCATCCCTTGCTCAAGATTTATTGAGTGGGGATGGTTTGTCTTACCTGGGATAAAATCAAGTTATCTGTTCGAGGCACCAAAATTATCACATTTTCTCAACAGCCTATTCTACCTCTATATCTGAAATAACTAGGATTCTTTTAATTACTAGGAAAAATGAATAGCACAGTTACATGAGAAAAAAAGGTATAATCCTTATATTAACAGGTTTTCTTGTCTATCCCTCACCTCTGCTGACATGATACTAATAGAAATGAATGTAAACCACATATATAATTTAAAATTTTCCAATAGCCACATTAAAAAGGTAAAGTATAGTAAGGGAAATTAATTTATCTAAAAAATTGGAATATAAAAATATAAAATAAATAATATAAAAAACCTTTAAAACATAGCTTAATTAGGATCTCAAGTTTTATCAGAATTGCTTGATCTGTATTTAGATTTCCTAAATTTACAGTTGAAAAGTAGACTCATATCCAATTTTGTTCCAGATATTTATTTGTTTTTCAGTAACTGTAATTTTTAAATTTTGTTAATAAAAATAAAAATTACATACACTTTTCTGATCATATAAGCAACATTTCAAGTATTCAGTAACTGTATGTGATTAGTAGCTACCATATTAAATTGAACAGTTCTAATATGAAAAGGTTTCTTTACACTATTCCTTCTCTAATACTTTACTCACTATTCCATTGCTAGCCACCAAAACTTAAAAGTGTCATCTCTTCCTTAACATCTTCTTTTCCACTCTTCTTCCAGGTTGTACCTGGGCATCCCCTTATCTCTTTTTTCTGAGCCCCAGTACTTATTTACTTTTTGTTTATGTTCTAGTCATGGAGTTTGAATTCAAGGCGTGGGCACTGTCCCTGAACTTCTGTGCCCAAGGCTTAGCACTCCACTTACAGCATTAGAAGAACTTAGTACTACCACCCAAAGAGAACCAATTATTGTTGACTTCTTTCCCAGTAATAATTTGGGAGATGGTATTAGTGTGTTAGGTCTGCTGTAACAAAGACCATAAACTTGATGGTCAAAAAACCCAGAAATTTCTTTCTGGACAGTTCTGAAGGGTGGAAATCCAAATCAAGATCAACGTATCAAGGTATCAACAACACTGGTTTCCTCTGAGGCTTCTTGCCCTTAGTGTATATAGATGGCCACATTCTCCCTCTGCCTTTATGCCATATTTTTTTGGCTCTATCTGTACCCAAATTTCTTTTTTTCTTTTTCATGCTAGGGATCAAATCCAGGGCCTTGTAGATGCTAGGCAAACACTCTAATGATGAGCCACACCCCTAGTCAAATACTTCATACTCTTATAAATATGCTAATAGGAATCAATTAATAAACTTCTTCTTAATTTAAAGATTCTGCCTCCAGGGCTGAGAAGATGACTCAGTGGTAGAGTGCTTGCCTTGCATGTATGCATGAGGCCCTGGGTTCAATTCCTCAGTACCACATAAATAGAAAAAGCCGGAAGTGGTGCTGTGGTTCAAGTGGTAGAGCGTTAACCTTGAGCTGAAGAGCTGAGGGATGGTGCCCAGGCCTAGAGTTCAAGCCCCACGACCACAAAAAGCAAAAACAAAACTTCTGCCTCTAAATATACTCCTAGTCTGCAGCAGTGGGGAGTGGAAACTTAACAGTGAAGTTTGATAGGGTACAATTCACCCAGTGGAATGCTGTTTGCTTTTAGCTTTTTTTCATAATTGTAAAGGTTTTTTTTTTAGCTTTTTACATAATTGTGATTATTCCATAAATCTAATACTTGTTTCCTTATCTTTAATAACATTACATTATAAATATTTTCCAAGTTATTCTTTAGCCTTTCATACAATTTTATCAGCTGTAAAAACTTTGCCAAGTGGTTTTCCAACCAAATCTTTTATCAACTTCTATTTGAATGTTTAGGTATTCCTTCTTCTCTTTTCCTATTATTAACAATAATAAAGTTTTTTAAATAAAATGTTTTTCTGAATTGGATTATTCCCTTAGAATAGAATTCCGAAAGTGGATTACATTCTTAAAACCTGAAGAGCTGAGTATAGTAGTGTATACTGTAATCACTGGCAGGAGAAAGAAGATCAAAAGTTTGAGGTCAGTCTCAAGCAAAATTAGGGAGATCTATGTAAAAAAACAAGGGGCTTGCAGTATAGGTCAAGTAATGGGGCCTCACCCTCTGGGCTTACTTCCCAGTATCAAAAAAACAACAACAACAACAACAACAACAACAACAAAAAATCCCAAGTTAGTGAAGCATACTGCCAAACCAGAGAAATATTAAATCGGGTTTTCTTGTTTTCATTTCCCACAGTGGTAGACTGGAATGAAGTTAGAAAACACAAATATGGCCACCTGTCAGAGTGTACATGCCAATATCAAGGTAAGAAAAAGCTATTTACTATGAAAAATTTTTATTTGACATTTCTTACCATAAAACTTTTGTTCTTAGATGTCCATGTTTTCAAGTAACTCTGGTTAAATCAAAAGCAAATAGATTGTTATTTTTAGAGGTTCCTGTCAAAAGCAATATGCTTTGGGCTAGAAAATCAAGATTCCCATCTTCTGAGTATAAAGAATCCCAAATTGGCTTTTTAGGCATCACTGCGTAGCTTATGTCTTTCCAGAGATTTTACTTATTTAAAGCTCAGAAGAAAGACAAGGAAGTGGCGCTGTGGCTCAAGCAGTAGAGCGCTTGCTTTGAGCTGAAGAGCGAAGGGACAGCATCCAGCCCCGGGGTTCAAGCCCCACGACTGACCAAAAAAAAAAAAACAAGAAACAAAAATTTCCAGGAATTTTTAAAAGCCAGGCTCCAGTGGCTCACGCCTGTAATCCTAGCTACTCAGGAGGCTGAGATCTGAGGATCACGGTTCAAAGCCAGCCCGGGCAGGAAAATCCCTGAGACTCATATCTCCAATAAACCACTAGAAAACCGGAAGTGGCACTGTGGCTCAAGCGGTAGAGTGCTCGCCTTGAGCTGAAGAGCACAGGGACAGCGCCTAAGTCTAGAGTTCAAGCCCCACGACTGACCCAAAAAAAAAAAAAAAAAACAGAAAGGCAAAATTGGATTTTGTACTTCTACAACTACTAATAACTTTAAAAAATGAGATAATTGGAGTAAATACACTTTTAAAACCCTATTTTAACACAGAATTTGAACTTTGTTATTTTGGTACGTATGTCATGATGATTCTGCTTTAACATTTTTTCAATAGAAACTGCTGACTTCCTGGAGCTAGGTAAGATATTTTTCTTGTTTCTGTTAAATAAGGGGAATTACTAGACAGATATTAGATTGTAATCAGCTTTCACAAATTAGGAAAAGAATTCCAAGTATCTTTCTCATAATCCAGTGAACCCTGTGCTCTTGTCTGCCTAATTAGCCTATGTAATTCATTAAATCCTATTTATCTGGAGGCTATAGATCAAGCTAACAAAAGGAAGGAGGAATGGTTTATATAGAAAACAGGGAAATAAGGAAACTGTACCAAACTGGAAATAACATCTTAATTCTCTGAATCTAAAACTAAAACAAATCCTTACTGATCATATATTGTTCTTTTGGGATTTTTCCTCTAAGAAATTACTGGAAGATAGATTGACTTTAAAATAAATCTTACAGTTTTGTGAAGCTATGACTAAATAACTGAAATTTTATCAAATAACAAGTCATATTGATACTTCATTTTGTTTTCATCCATGAATAGTGTACTTTAAGACTAGAATTTAAGAGTAGAACTAATACTAGTATTTTTCAATAAGCTTTCAGGATTTATATATAAACATCAGCTTTCATAGCTTAGAATTCCTTAAAGAAATCCTTCCACATATTGCATAAGTGTTGATATCCTGATGCCTTTATCAATTTTTATTCACATATTTTAATGTTTTGTTAATGTAACTTAATATTTTCAGCTCTTTATTTTCATTCTGTATTTGCTTATTCTCACCACTCCTTCCTGTAACATACCTTTTTTTTTTAACATACTTTTTTCATTGCTTGCTGACAGAAGGCTATAGAACACTAGACTAGAAGTTAAAACTTCTGGTTTGTTGAAAGCCATCTCTGACAGTCACTTTCTGACTCTAATGTTCAGTTTTCTGATTGGTAAAATGGGGATAATAATTCCTTTCTGCCTACTTCATTGTTGTAAGATTACTAACATAAGCTTATAGATAGGAATATATCTTAGAATCACTCTAATATTTTCCAGCTTTGGGGAATTATTTTTATTGTGTTCAGTGACTATGCTGAGGCTTTATACTAAATAGGACATTCTTTGAACTGAGCATTATGAATGTGAGCTGAATAAATTAATGAAGTGAAATAATACCTATAAAGGTACCTGGAATTGGGTTATCAAATGATAGTTTTAAAACTCCTTAAAACTCTTCTTCAAACTTTCTAAGGTGCCGGTGTGTTGTGGGAAAGCTTAGACATAAAATTCAGGCAGGACTTGGTTCAGAGTTCTCTAGTGATCAGGGTTTGTAGCTTCAGATCAATAACTTAATCTTTCTGAGCACATTTCCTCATTTTTAGAATGGCAGGCTGTAATTAACATCAGAGATATTGGATTAGTCTGGTGTGATACAGTCAAGGATAGCTGCCACTTTTTGTTTTGTTGCTAATAGAAGTAACAATAGTTGTAATGCTGTGATAGCATTAAGAATGTTAACAGGAAGTTATGAAACATAGATACCCAATTTATGTAAAGTATTTGTAACATTTGAAAGTATATTTTACTCTTGAGAATATTGGTATGACAGGTATATCTTCCCATATAAGTTGATGTTGCATATTTCATTTTTCCTGTCAAGCATTTAGAGCATCTCAAATATAAGACTAAAATAAAATTCAGATTTCTGATTCCTTGGTGCTAGAATAGATCTTTAAATAATACATTTGCTTAGCATTTCAAACTTTGATATTTTGTATTTCTTACAACATTTCCTGTCTTGAACTCTTTAAATTGTTGTAGATTTTTAGTCATATCAGATAAATTGTTAGATATTTGTTTATTTGTTTTTGTTAGCCACATTCTAACTTTTAGTGCCATAGTCACTGTCTTCTGATTATTAGAAAGCATTTCTAGGAACTGTTTGCTTACTGCTGCTGTGATTTTCCTAGTCCCAGCCACCATTCTTATACAAATTCTTTATTGTTACATGTTCAGAGGGGTTACAGTCACATATATCAGATAAAGAGTACATTTCTTGTGCAACAGTGTCACCCTTTCCTTCATTCTCTCCAAGTTTTTCCTCCTGACCCCACCTACCAGTTTTATAGTTCATGTTCAGCATAGTGTCTAGTGAATATCACTGCTGCATTTGTTCACCCTTTGTCCTATCTTTCCTATGCCCCCTTCAAACCCTCTCAAAGATGAATAAACAAACACGACAAAGTTTCCATTTCCAAGAGTGCATTTCAATAAATACTATTTTATATGATCAGATGCACTTTTGTGATCCTCTCCTTAGAATATCCTCCTTCCTTTGGTCTCTCCGTGAAAATGCCTAGAAACCCTATATAATATAATGTATCATGTCCCAGTGTATTTTTTTTCTTTTATCATCCATTGTGTTTATTTGTAGATTTATAGGCATATTCTAGTTACCACAAATGAGGAAACTATGCAAATGAAGTTTCTTTGGGTCTGGCTTACTTTATTTCCTTATGAATGGTGCACTATCATCTGATGGATGAGTAGAATTCTATTGTGTATATGTACCACATTTTTTTTATCCATTCATCCACTGAGGACTATGTGGGTTGATTCCATATCTTGGCTATGGTAAACAATCCAGCTAACATCATTTTACACCTAGATTTTTGACACAGCTCCCCAAACATCAACATCCAGCCCTACCTGTTCCATTCTTCACCCTGCAGCCAGAATGACTGCACCAAACTATTCCGAAGATTCTCATTAACATGGAATAGGAGGTTCTCTAATACCTGAACACTGCTCTCTACAACCCCTTTTTGAAACTACTTTTTCTTTAAATTCTATCCAGCAACTATACCAAAAGATCTAATTTTTGGAGCTGTTTTTTCTCACCTCCAAGCCTTTGTACATGTTTTTCTTTTGTCTGAAACAAGCAGCTGTTTCCTTTCTCTTTGCCTCTTGCTTATCCTTTTACACTTTTGCTTAGGAGCCTGAAGTTTACTTCTGTCCACAAACCCTCTACCTCTCCAAGTTAACCTTTACCACAATAAACTATTTTTGTATCTATCTGACCTTCACTATAATGAAACTGATAGGAAAACATTGGATACAATTTGTTGTCTATCATCTAGCACAATACTATTTATATTTCTTGGATGAGTAGATAGAGAAATAGCTTTCTTACTCATGCTAAGTGTTCTTGAACTTCCTTTAGTTGGGTCTCAGGTGACATGGTCACATTTTCTACTGTGGTTTGCTTTATCTCTCTCAAGCATAGTTCCCAGACTGAATTTGATAGCCCACATATGACTTTATTAGTCTAGGAAAGAAGATACTGTCACTTCTGTCCTGTTCCCCTCCCTTTTTTTTCTTCTTCCCTCCCTTCTTCTTTCCTTTTTGTGGTAGTGGGGATTGAAGTTAGGATCTCATGCTTCCTAGGCAAATGTTCTACTATTTAAGCCACATCCCAGTCCACATGTTCTTTTCTTCTTTTTATTTACTTGGAAACTTTTTATTGAGCATGATTAGGTCTCAAATACTATGTTAAACTGTGGAGATTAGAAAATGAGTAAGAGTTTAAATAGTTGGAATGACATGATGTAGAATATGAAGGTTAATAAACAATATGATAGAAAATAGAGAAATGGTAAGATGAGCAGTTATGAAGCCAACATAGCTAAATTTCTTTTAGGATACTCTTAAGGTCCTTTTTAGCTTGAACATTGTTATTCTGTATCTTGGAAGCCTCTAGAATCCAGGCTTTTCACTTCAGGGTTACTGCCTAGCCTTTCAGGAACCTCTGGTTTTTTCCCCTATCTCAGCAGTCTTTCCTTTTGCCTAAAAAGAACATTAAACTTGCTTTAGGTGCTTTTTTAAATTTTCGTTTCTTTTCTCTCCTTTTCATCTTTTTTTTTCTTTCTTTCTTTTTTTTGGTGCCAATCCTGGGCTTGAACACAGGGTTCTTGAGCTTTTCTTTTTGCTCAAGGCTAGTGGTCTACCATTTGAGCCATAGTTCTACTTTCAGCTTTGGTGGTTAATTGGAGATAAGAGTCTCACAAATTTTCCTGTCTGGGCTGGCTTTGAACCCATTTAGGTGTTTTTTTTCCTATTAAATAAAATGCATGAAGTGATTTCCTTTTTCATCTTTATGCATTTTTTCATTATTTAGAGAATACTTCATTGATTTCTGTAATCAAACCCATGTAGATAAGAACTTACATATTTAATACAGTGTGTTTACGCATGTACAAAATGGAAAAAATTAAGTTTAACATTTCTAGACCAAGGTGGCTATTAATTTCTGTACAATGCCAACTCAACATGGTTTTCAAAGTTGACAGCACAGCTAAAATTTCCAAAATTCAAATTATATATATGCATATATATTCACATAAAAGACCAATAATAGCATTATGTTATGCATCAATAGAGCAACAACTTTTCCAGGTTATGTAGTCATCTGAACAAGAACAAAATTAGACATCCAAGCTAAGACAAATATCCATTTATGACAAACAAAGAGCAAATGTTCTTAATTAGTAAAGACCTCTTTGAATCTGAGATGAAAGATTACCTCAGTTTATAAAAAAGGAAAGATAAAAAACTGATAAGCTTCAAAAGGTCGTCAACATTATTAGTAATTAAAGAACTGCAAAAAACATAATAGTATAAAAGTACACTTTAGCACACTCCATTAATAAAAAGCAAAAAAAAAAGATTTAAAAATTTTTGAAAAAATTTTTGAAAAAATCAAAATTTTCAAAATTTTTTGAAAAAAAAAACCTTGAAACTCCAGAAACATGAAGTTGTTACTTTGTGATACCTGGCAACATTTTTTTATTAGCTTCTCAATCATCATTTGAAAAGAAAATATTCGTGAGTAACATCATTAAAAATAGCTCTGATAAAGCAAGTCACTACGTATCATCAAGCCAGGTATAAGCTATTTCCTTATTCTTTTTCAGTAAGGAGGAAGCCACATAGAAATGTTACTGAAGCATTATCACATAATTCAAGCTATATTGTTTTGCCTAACCTTTTGCTCCAACCTCTAGACATTTAATGAAGGGCTG